AGGAATGCACCCAGCCCCCTGGCTACAACTTGAGGAGAGACACTGTACCAATGCCTATTTGGCTGTCCAGTGCCTCTGCCCTGTCAGCCTCACAAAGTAAAAAACACCTAAAAAACAAAATGCAAAATGACTGTTAAACATTCCTACCACCTGAGCTGATCTCACAGGATGAAGCACCACCTCACACAGATGTTGCAGGCTCTGCCTTCACGTTCCTGCTACACACCAGCCCCTTGGTATTTCTTGTACTCGGCTGTCATTTATGGATCTCAAATGTCCAAAACAAGGGACAGACACTATCCTTAAGTCTGTGCCTACAGCTGAGAAGGTGAAGCATGGGAGGGCAGAGAAGGGAGTCTACATTCACATCTCAAGTCACAAGGATGGTAACCATAGTCTCTGATGAAACTTTGGTCTTGCCTTGCTCCTCCCTGCCTGACCCACAGCCCTCCCTTTCTAAAAGGCTGCAGAGACTGGAAAAGTGAAGACAAACACACACCAAACATAACAGAAAATTAAGCTTCTTTTCCTATTCATTTACAATTGTCAGAAGTGAATCTGTGCCCCAAAAGGCCACAATGCACAGTAAGAGGTCTCCTTCACCCATCAGCCCTATTCTCAGTCTCCCCTCCCAAATTCTTCATGTCCTTTCAAGAGCATTTTCCACCTCACAACTATCCAATGTCCTTCTCTGCAGCCACAGTGCAGTTGTCTCAAAAATGCCTGGGCTCAAAACTAGAAAGCAGAAAGCTGGTGGGAGAGAGGTGGCAGTGTAACTGGTGTGGATAGGGACACAGTCTCCTTTTCCACGTTACAGCCTGAAGCCCTCCCTGGGCCATATGCCTTATTCACCAGTCCAGGCAAACAAAAGTTATGGTCAGCCAGCTGCAAGCAGGCAGGTGAAGCCTATAAATATCCCTCTCTCTCTTTCTAGTATCTTTACTCTTAAAAGTTTATGCAAATTCAATCTAAGAATAGATTTTCGTCATGGGAAGAAACCAAAAGACTAAATGCCAGATGTCTTGTACACATCTGCTCTAAAACTGACACCTTCAGAGAGACCCCACACTAGCAACAAGCTGCAAGTGCACAGGAAGGTTATTCTGCACAAAGCTGGGGAAATAGCCTCAATACAGTGAAGTCAGAAGAGTGAATAAGTGGGGAAAACTGGTGTTTGGACCTTGCTTTTACAGACACTTAAATGTGTTCTCACCTTGAGGTTAACAGGAATTCTCGGAAAAGTTAAATCCAGGCTTATGAGTTTCCCAGGTTTTACACTTCTAGCTCATTTTAGAAAAACTTTATATAAGATTTACAATTACAGGAATAGGTCAATTTAGCAATTGCAGAAATTGTGGTAACAGCCAGGTAATGGCCAACAAGAAACAGCTCCCAGCACAAGTTACTTGTTCCCCTGCAAGAGTGGGCAAGAAAGTGATTATGGGGTCAGAACAAACAATCAATGCAACATAATGGCTGAAAGGAAACATAAAAAACATTTTTAGTAAGGCTGTGGGAAACTTGTGGGGGAAGAACAAAAGATGGAAATAGATACTGAATGACTTAAACCTGTCTTGAAGATCATGTACTGAACAAGGTGGGCCTTGTTCTCAGCTTCCCTGCCCACTGGAGCTCAAAAACCACTACAGACATTGGGTGTCATTGAAACAGATGGAAACAACTTAGAAAATATATTTCCCTCCTCCTACAGGCTAGCACAGCTGAAGGAGGAGGGCAGAAGGGCAGGTAGCAGAGCCATATGACATGTGGCCTGCCTGGTGGCAGCGCACTTGCTCCAGTGCCATGAGGATGAGACCGATGTTCAGGGTCATCCTGTGCCCACAAAGACAGCAGGATCCTGTCCCAGGACAGGCCACACACCCCTAGCTGTCACTCCAACCTGCCATCTCCAACAGGTCTGTCACCAAGGAGACAAACTCTAGTTTTTAAGGCTATTTTAAAAGCAGGCAGGTGCATTTCCCTTTAGGACACCAGACCCATGTGGTACAAGCCACTCCTGCCCACATCATCACAGGTGGTGCATTAACATGCACTCAGTTAGAAGTGACACAGGGGGCCAGCCTGCACCTCAGCACACAGCAGCACATGGCACCTGAGAAGCTGCCTTTGCTGAAAGGAGTTTGCAGCTCCAGATCACATGAACAGAGTAACCGGTGGTGTGAGAGAGACAGTAAGATGTGCAACAGGTGCCACTTCCAAGTCCACATTATGTATCCATATGGGCTAAAGGGCCTGGCCCTAATGACCCCGAGGTTTCCCACTCCTCACACTCTCCCCATCCTTGCCTGCCTATAAACACTCACTGGCCTGGGAGGGAATGGCATTTCTGCACACCTTGGGAAAGAACCTGCCAGCACTCATTGCCAGGACAACTGCTAAGAGACTCACCAAGAAATACTGCATTACTAACTACACTACAAAGCAAGAACAAAGCCTGTTTGCCACGTGCTTCGTGCATAACACCAGGCCCTTAGTCCTCTAGAGCTAAGGGCAAAGCTCTGAAATGGCATCCAGACACAGCTTAACTGCTCTGTGCCATCCTCCTCCTCCTCACACTGCTGCTGACCGCAGGCACACAGGTCCACAGCACGTGTGTTTATAGCAGATGGGCACACACATGCAAAGTGTCACTCATGAGCCTCCTCACTAGCCCGTTTTCACTCCCAGTCCTGGAGGACAGAGTCCTGCAGAATCATAAAGCCTGGCCATAGAAAAAACAATAGCTCACTAATCTGCCCAGTGGGGTGATTATTTGGAGAATGAAAATTTTTTGGAACATTCTATAAATAAGTCACTCAGCCAACCTCATTTCTCAGCTCCTGCCACTCCACGAAACCTCTCCCAGTTCCCCAGCAGCAGGAGATGATCCTGGAGCATATGAACCTCCCCCTCCACAGCCTGTACCTCCTGGTCCCCACAAAGGACACTGGTGCTCCCAGTATCTGTCCCCTTACTCCACCAATGGGACTGACATTCATTAGAGTTATCAGGAGCACTGTGTACCTTCACCATCTAACAACAGAGATGCTTTCAATCTCCAGTGTCAAACCTTGCAGTATTGCCATCCACAAAATTCTCCTTCCCTGCTCCCACAGATTCAAGAACTGAAAAATCAGCAGGGTCATGCCTTTGAATATCTGTCAGACAGCCAGGTTCATTCTAATACTACAATTTTCTCAAGTATTTCTTCAAGCTTCACGGTTGTAAAGTCAGCAGGTACAAAAAGGTTGTGAGCATGATTCCAGGGTTAAGATTAAATAAAATCCCAAACACCAAGAACAACTCCTCCTCCTCCTCCTCTCTTACGAAACACTCTGCAGAGTGAACATAAGATGAAATGTTTTCCATTAATTTTCTATTTTTAAACCGCACTTGTTAATGTTTCTTGGCTTTTTGAAACATCATTTGACTAGAGCTCTATTAATTACCCAGTGGTCTCAGCAGTATGAATTTCTTCAGGATTTTTCCCCAAACGAAACTCCCCTCACTTTTAGCCTAGTTTGAAACTTCTCTCTATTAACTTCCAGAGGAGCTTGGTTTCTGATGTTCCTTGTGCTTGTTTTTCCTGCCACAATTAATATCCCCTGTATGAGTTAATTTAAAAATATTCACATAAAACAGCTAGGAAATACAAAGTGAGAAGACTTTCTGTAGATGATGTTTCCAGATCATTTCCAAAAACCTTGCCTCACATTGAAAAGCCTTCTCACAGGTTTTATTAGTTGGCATCTTGTGAAATCTCTAACAGTTTTCATCTTGTTTTAAGAGAGCACTCTGGGCTACAAAGCTGTCAGCCTTTGAAGACACGTCTGGTGGATCTTCAAAAACAGCTTAGCTTGTTAATGCTTAGCCACAAGCACTTATCTCTCTCTCTTTTATTGTGATGCAGCTTAATACTCCACTGCTTTGTACAGTAAAGCTAATGGTGAAGACATAAAACAATTATTAGGACTGGAAGTCTGACATGGTGATTATTCCTTATAGTTACCAGATATTCATGGTCTTGCTCCTCCAACAAACCACTTCAGAACAAGCAGGTTGCATCTCTTCCTCCCACCATTCTTGCATTTCCCCTTTTTCCCCTCCAGATGTTTATAACTGTTGAATTACAGACAACTGTTAAAACTGCTGTGGGTTTTCATAATTTTCTATGCATCACCATTTCATACAGCCACAGAATCTATAAAACTGCAGTTAGGTCTTTACAAGATCACCAGTTATTTCCTGATGGGCATTATTTTTTTTTCTTTGCCTTTTTTTAAAAAGGAAAAAAACCCTGGAACTTCATCAAGACCAATTCTAAGACTGGAGTAGCATCTGAAGTCACATTCCCACACATGTATTTAGAAACATAAATAAGATGACCTAATTCTCATTCTGGGATAACAGAAAGCTCCAAACACTCACCACTGAAAAATAAGTGTAGTTTAAAAGGTTGGTTGGTTTGTTTTTAATAAAATATCTCTGGATAATTGTTCAAACGTCTGACCCAATCCCACCGTGCAAATGCATTTCCTAATACCCAACTGGAATTTCCTTTCTTGCAGCCACTGTCTCTTACGCTATCACTGTGTATCTCAGAGGAGCCTAGCTTTGTCTTGACTGCACCCTTTCACAAGACAGTCATAGACAGCAATAAGATCTTCCCTTTCCTTTTCCTCTAGAAGAACAAACAAAACCCACCTCACCCTTTCCTTACAAGTCCTGTTCTACAGTACCCAAACTTCATGGTGATCCTCATTTGGTTTATCATTCTCCATTTATCTTCAACAACCACAGATTCGATACATGGAAGTAAGTGTATTTCTGGCCCTTCTACCACTTCTTTTGATCAACTTTTGACTCAAAATGATTACAATGCAAAGTTAGTAACCTCTGTAAAAAGCATTCATATGCACCCTTAGTGCACCATCACCCCACCAGGAACATTTCATTACTGCACCATCACAACAAATGAACATGGGCTCAGTGTGTTCTACCTTCATTGAAGTTGTCATCAGTCGAGATGTGGGTCAAGGGAGACTGGGGTCGAGAGTCCCCACACAGGGAATAGCTGTGTTCTGCCTGGATGAGGGGCGCTGGGGATGCTGGAGACAATTCCACCTCCATTATTTCATTCTTCTCAGACAAGAAGGGATCATTCAAGAGCTGGCCTAGGACATCAGGTGAAAATTCATCCAGGAACTCTGTGAAGTGCTGTGGAGACAAAAAGCAGGGAAAAAGTTTATCTCCTTGCCTGTCTGTCATGCCAACAACAGGAGAGGATTGATCAGAACAATCTTATATCTGCACTGGGCATCTGTGCCAGTCAGCAGCAGGATCTACCAGCCCTGTCTAACAATCTGCTTCTCCAATCACTACTTCAAGCTGAAGAGCTACAGCTAGAACAAAAGTCCTTTCAGAGGCATACATTACAACAGAAGAGCCTGTCATTAACTTGCAACAGAAATGGAAAATCAAGGCACGATACTCATGTCCTGAAGTGGCCTCCTCCCCCTACTACACAAGGTACTCAGTACAGTGCACCACCAAAAACAGGAAAGCAATTTTCCTCCAGGAAAGTACATTCCCTGCAGGATTTATCATCAGAATATTTTGTGTGCGGAACAGAATATAGGGGGTTAATGTTCACTGAAGCAGAAAACAAAAACGAAACATATTCAGACACAGACTCTGACACCACGTATGACTATTTTAGCTGTGCAGAACATTCAGTGTGCTCTAGGAAAACGGGCCCTGCACATCCGCAGCCAAGCAATTACGACATTTGCTAAAAATTTGGTTTTCTGAATGATGTATGCATCTATTTTAGAAGCTGCCTTCCACCTAGGACTAGAGCACATATCCAGCTTCTAGGCCCCAGAGCTAAAGCTCCTGACAGTCAGAACTAATTACCACTTTATCTATTACACTGAATTCATTATGCCAGCAGCACATGTTATATCTGTATGAAGTAGGAAAACTTTGTGTTTGTTTCTTATTCAAAATGAGTAAAAAACAAATCTTGCAATCTTCTTCCTTAAGACTCCAGTGCAGTTCCCATCAATAGCTGAAAACTCTGTGTCTCTTCTTGGTTTTGTTTCCAACGTCAGAAAATTACATCTTTGACAGACAAAGAAACTGCATTGCAACAAATCATTCCTGCTCATCTCATTCACACAAAGAATTCTATTTTTGTACAAAAATACTTGTACAATGAATTGTAATGAGATTTTCTGAACAATCAGGCATTATCTTCCATCTTATATAGGAATCTTTGTCGACTGGGGCATGATGCAATAAAAGTCTAAGTTTGTTTGATTTGCTCTGTTTTTGCAAGCAGTATTGATCTTGGCTCTTCATCTTGCTCTCTCCTGCGGAAACAAACACTGAAATTCAAGATTTGGCTTCCTGTAGGCTAAATTAGGACTTAAACAAGTCAATATTGTATAAACCCACGAGGGAAGCTGTGTGCTCACACCCTCATCACACCCTCATGCTCTCACATTTCACAGCTCCAGCAGCACCTGTGGCCTAGAAGCCTGATGCTGGAAAACCCTGAGCACAGCCAGCTCTCACAGAGTTCCCTGGAAGTTCGAGCACCTCTTCCAAGATGCTTACAAATGCTAACTGTGCCTTTTTTCAAAATCAATAAGTCTTCAGTCAATTCTGACTGACACTGAGGAAAAGAAAATATTTACTGAACATAAGGCAATAAACAGAGGACCACAGTTGCTATGCTGGAATAGCAAGCTAGCTAACGAAAAGCCTTTACAAATGGCAAAACAGATTTGTAGCCTCATATTTACTTACTGTAAATGATAACACTAATAAACAAACTCTCAGAGGAATCCACAAGAGGGTCACGATGAACCCAGAAAGCCTTGTTTACTTTAATTTTGATACCCAAGGACTCACTAGGACTTCATATCCAGGTGCTTTCCAACAAGGATGAAAGTATAAACTACAATTCCCCACTCTGCAAAGAGAAAAGAAGAAGGATGCACAAGACCAGTTGAACACTCTGGTGCATCAATAAAGACACCGATAATACAGGGTAGGCAGCCATTAAAGTGTAAGCAAGGGACAGAAATGCTTCCCAGCCATGAAAGAAGTCAAGGATGAACCTACAAAAAAAGCAGTGCCTTTCTTAGGGACAGTATATTCCCCTACAGTCTACACATTTCTTTTCATTTGGGCTAATGGCAAGAGTCAATTATATTTGTTTACATACTTTCCTAAAGCTGGAACATTTCCTTCTTTCTAATTCTTGTATGCATTATTCTGACTGATGACTAGCAGATGCTGAAATATGACTGATACAATATTTGTAACCCTGGTTTCTACATGCAAATACTTTATCACCAGCATCATCCAATTTCAGGATGCCATCCTTGAAAATATCATGCCTGTGCATCGACTTAGTCTGACACTACTTAGATGTTATACTTCACCAGACTCAACGGAAAGGACAACATGACCACAAGCTACTCAGCTATCTTTGGCAAATTCACGAATAAATATTTTTATTAGCCTTCTGTTTATTACTGTTTCGATATGGAAAAAAATCTTATCAGATGTTATAATACTTCTTCCATTTTACTGAAGTTAGGTCCATCAGATTTTATTTATTTTTTCTTTTCTGAATGGGGAATTTTCCTACAACCACTTCATGAAAAGCAATGGAGGAAACAAATATTCAGCTTCAGAGAGAAAGAGGACCTTGGGGTGGGGAAGGACGTTCAACATGTTCATCAATATTTGTGCTTTCTCCTTTTCATGAGGAGCTGTAAAGCAGCAAGCTGTGAGGAAGAAAAGAATTTGCATCTACAACAGAATCATCTGATAGCAAATAAATGGTTGGTTTCTATACGGATTTTTTAGTTTCATTATAATTCTGAAACTTACTTTTAATGGTCTGTGATAAAACTTTGAATACTGGTCAACAGAGAAACCAAAAACAATTGCCACAGGTCAGACTGCGCAGCTACAGAACTCAGGGAACAGGCTCAGGGATCTGGACTTCTCACTCAGTGATTACAAACACACCATCACTTGATTTACAGGAATCTTTCATATGTTATACACTTCTCTACTACAGCAAATGCTTAAAGCTGGGTCACTTTTTTTTTCTTAATAAAACAACTATCTCATTGAAAGTGGCTCCATTTGCTTAGAGAATTTAGAAAGAAAAGGCATCTGAGCAACAGCTAAAGCAGAAACAATCTGGGCACAATTAGGCCTCCAGCTCCTCAAAACTTCCACCTACACCTAAGCTGCTCCTTCTGTCTTTTCGAAGCACGTTCTCCAATCGCCAACCCTCCTCCTCCTCCTCCTCCCCTCTCTGCTTCCATATGCACCTTAGTGGTCATCAGCCACTTCCATAGCTGGAAAGCCTCAGAATAACCCTCAATTTTGATACAGCAGCAACCACCCCCACACTCAGGAACAGGAAAGGGCAATTTAGGGAGGAAACTGAGACCTTTACACTTAGAATCTATATATATATTTGCTTGCAAAAGAAAGAAATTCTTCATCTGTTGCTTTTAGCTTGGCATCTTTCACCCAGAGAGTTAACCTTTAAAAAAAACCCAAAAAACAAAACAAAGAGAGAAAGCACTTGCATTGAGAATCTGCCTTTTTCTTGTCCTTTTCTTTTTTTTTTGTTGTTAATACCTCTGTAGACAGCTCTGTTGCCAGTTTCCTGCTATTCTCACACCCCAATGGCAGCCCCAGCACTAACTGCAGACAAGGAGTTGGTACAAGGAGTCTGTTTGAATTATCAAACTATTTCCTCCACACAGCAAAAAGATGTGTTCAGCTGGGATTTTAACCTCTGTAAAAAGGCAGGGATTTAGGACAGATGTAACCTTATCTTTCCCTTCCCCCAGAACCCTGAAAAGACAAACAAAACAGCAGCACTTGGGTTTACTGACAGACAGTTGCAGCCCCATGGAGTTCCACCACCCATCTGGCTGGACATTTGTTCATGCCTATAACCCGGGTCCTTTAGGGGAACACAAAGCACCTACAGACATCACCTCACAGTGAGCAAACAGAGGGAAGCTCTTATATCCGGGTGCAGAGCGGATTTTGGATAGCTCTTCGAAAGTAGTATTTGGCTGCAGACCAGCTGGGCTGAGGGCTGCAGCTCTCCATCTGCCCGTTCCCACCAGACAAAGGCCCTTTTCTCCAACTGCCTAAGGGACAAGGGTTTTTTTTTCCCTTTCTTGTCTGATCAAATGAAGATCTCTGAAGTAAAACAGACTCAGGTGCATGGTAGTGCTGGCTTCTCACCAGGTGAGCAGAGGAGAGCAGCACTAGCCCCAGTTGTCTGAAGATGAGATATTATCATGACTAAAAATGAAACAGTCATCTTCAGAAAACTGACTTTCTAAGAACTCACTAAAAAAGTAATGAAGAGAAGTCAAGAGCCTCAAATGACAGTTCATAATTATATTTAAATTATTAAGCAAGTGACAAGCTTTGCTGAGCCCGGAAAATGCACTGTGTTAGCTGCAAGTCCTCCACACTGACTGTAGCAGCACAATCCACCCTTGCCAGCAGAGCCACCCCAGAGGGGAGCTGCCATCCTTGCACACTCTAAAACAATCCCCTCTCTCTCAGCAGACCAGGGCAAGGTGGCCATGCAACACACCAGGGTTATAACCACCCAGTAATTCAAGATACTACCCTCCTGGGAGTTAATGGCTCCCTCCTGGCTCACCCTGAGGTCTCCCCATCCTGGAGGGATCAATCTCCCCTCACAAGTGGAACTGTCAGGTAGGAACATCCCTCCTACGCAACAGGCACGCATGGGATAAAAACGAAGCCTACCATTCACCTGTAGGTACAAAACTGCCTGGTATTTCTCTCTTGTAAGGCTTCAGCAGCAGTCATGGGGGTAGGGGGAAAAAGAATTGCACCTTTGCTTCTGTATCAAAGGAATCAAGAGTCCATGTAATTTACAAAGCAGTGCTCCCAGAGAAGAGGAGGAAACAGGGGAAAAAGGGGACACCACAAACCAGCCCCGTCTGTGGGGAACACAAACATGCACCACAGGCATGAATCTACCCCTTCCTTTCACCCCCAATTTCCTCTCAAATTAAGATAACAGGGAGAAAAGGGAATAATTTTTTCACCAGCTCTTTTGCGATTTACATAAACAAAGGTGTATAGGAGATAAACCACAATGTATCAGAAAGCATCAAACAGCT